ATAGAATTCGTTGGCTGCTGTCTTGAAAAGAAACTGGTGGCAGTGCCTGTGGCTCAGTAGGTAGGACGCCGGCCCCATATACCGAACGTGGCAGGTTCAAACCCAGCCCCAGCCAAACTGCAACAAAAAAATAGCCAGGCATTGTGGCAGGCACCTGTAGTCCCAGCTATTCAAGAGGTAGAAGCAAGAGGATTGCTTGAACCTAGGAGTTTGAGGTTGCTGTGAGCTAGACTGACGCCATGGTACTCTACCAAGGGTGACAGGTTGGTTTGCGGCTTGGGTGGGGTAAACAACAGTGGCAGCTTCTACCCAAAAAATAGCTGGTGTTGTGGGGGGCACATGTAGTCCCAGCTATTCAAGAGGTAGAGGCAAGAGGATTGCTTGAACCTAGGAGTTTGAGGTTGCTGTGAGCTAGACTGACGCCATGGTACTCTACCAAGGGTGACAAAATAAAACTCTATCTCAGGAAAATCAGTGAGTTTTGGTTTCCTCTCAGTTATCTGGTGAAATACTTTAAAGTGAATGAATAGGTTGTCTCAGTTGAAAGATTTTGAGAAAATTATTTCAGTTTTAAATTTGATTTGTTGTTTATGTTTTACATTACTTTAGGATAAGAGCTCATCTGAGCTGGGGAAAGATGGCATTTATTTGATTTTGAGTTGCAGACACTAGATATGCACTTGGGGGCGGGGTTCACTGCTGCAGGAGGTGAGCGTGCACTGCCACCCTCCCTAGTGTAGTGGTCATTTTTGTGAAGGAGATGGCTGTGTCTTAGGATTTGTGATTATGGTAGGAAGTGCCCAGTGCTGGTTCATTCCCACTAGAAGTCAAGGAAGTTAGGTGATTGAGGTTCTGGATCTGAGTGAGACTTGTCAGGATGTTTGCAGGGAGAAAGTAAAGAAATACCTGTTATAGACATCTGCTCTGACCATGCCTGCCTGCAGGTAAAAGGCCCTCACTGCTGCAAATGGCCAGCCACTCCTTGAGTATAGTGGCCCAAGTGTTGGCAGTTCTCAGGAAAACCAGGCGGAGGCCTGTTCTTTTGAACAGATGCACGTGACTGTCCCATGCAGTATTCTCTGCTCCAGACACTTGTTGAGTGTTTTGCTCTTGTTATTTGAAGAATCGTGAGGTCCAGTTTTGAGGGGTTCCTGTTGTACTCCCCATCGTCCTTGAGAACAGTACAGGCTGGGAGTGCCTCAAGTGACCTTCCACTTACAGCCCTGGGTAGTTCAGTAGCATCACCAATTGATTTTGGACCAGAATACAGGCAAATACAAGTGGGGCAGGACTTTGAAGAATGATAGCAACCAGCTATTTTAGTGTTTTATGCTGTTAGCTAAGCACCATGCTAAGCATTTCACATGTATTATCACCTTTAATCCTATTTTGAACCCCATTCTACAGAAAAGGACTCAGAGGCTTGGCAAGGTCAGATCATACCACTGGCCAGTGGAGAGAGCTAGGTCCCTCCAGTCTCTGCTCTTATCTGCCACTCTGCTTAGTGTCCTGGATATGCTTGCATAGCCATATTTGTTTGTGTTCTTAGTATATGCTGAGGACAGTACATATTTTTATTATTTTCTCAACTCTCTGGAAGATTTTAACTCCTTTATTGATAAGAAAACTGATTCTTGGGTAAGGATTCTGGAAGTCCAGGCCTAGATCTGTCTGACTGATGCCAAGACTGGGTGAAGAGTGTGTTGATACTAAGAGCACTAGAGTCAAAGAGCTTGCTTATATCCTGGCTGCACCTTGAACGAACATCTTGAGATCTTGCTTAACCCCACTGGGCCTCAGTTTCCACCTCTGTAACGTGAAGGCGATGAGTCTGTACCTCACAGGCTGTTGTGAGGGTCAAGCATACTAATACATATACTCAGCATGCGGCTGGGCTTGGTAATGAGGGCCTCATAAACGTCATCTTATGCCACCCTACCTCACCTTATATTTAGGAGGTAGGAAAAACAGTCAGAAGCAACACAGCTAAATCCAGGCATCAGGCTTTTCTTGACCTTCCAGCAATGAGCACCAGTCCTCTGCAAGATCTGTGCTGGGAAGGAAACCCAGACAGCTGTTACTTCCTGCATAGGGGACTTCCTAAATCTCTGGCCCTGAGTTGGCCTCTGTGCATACTATCTTATCTAATTCTCACAACAGAACAGTTCCTTAATTTATACACAAAGATGAATCCCTGGGAACTTGAGTGACTTGCATAAGACCACACAGCTTATTTAGTGGTAGTGCTGGGGCTGGATGGTAGGCAGCACAGCACCAAAGCCTATGCTGTTTCTCCAGCATCACACTGACTGTCCCTTATAATAATAGCTGTCATGTGCTGACTGCCTCCCCTACAAGGTATGGAGGTGTTGGGGAGAGTATCCCCATTTTATAGAAAAGGAAGTGAGGTGCCAAGATGTTTAGTAACTTTCTGAGGGTCACCAGCCCGTGAGTAAGGAGTATATTAGACTCTGGGAACAGGGGAGAAGATTGAGAAAGCATTTTCTTTCCTATAGTAAACCATAGAAAGTAGCATCACCAACTGATTTTGGACCAGAATTCAGGCAAATACAAGTGGGGAAGGACTTTGAGGAATGGGGAATACATAAATCCGTAGAGGAAGAAAGCTTGTTCATTGGGTAAATTTTTTAAATTTTGAAACTGGTCTGTAGAAGCGTGTGCTTCTGTTTTCTCATCTGTAACACAGAGATAATACCCATCTCAGAGGGCATGGTGCAGTGAGGCCGTGATCAAAAAGCCCCCTTAGGCTCAGCACCTATAGCTCAACTGGCTAAGGCGCCAGCCACGTACACCTAAGGTGGCGGGTTCGAATCCCCAGCCCGGACCCGCCAAAACAAC